ATATATATATATATATATATATATACAGTTATAATATATATGGTAAACATATCATGCACGTACTTGAATATTTTTTCAACCCAACAGATGACGGTACATATCGATGCGACAGCTTCTAAAGGTAAAGTATATACTTTATACAGGTATAGCATAAAGAGTAAACAAGAGGATTAAAAAATTATGAATTTTAAAATGAAGTAGGGATCCTGCTATAAAAATAATATAACAAGAATTAAAACCACAATCACACATTTATACAATTTAATCCCTACTTTGGCAGCTTTATACACTTATCTGTAGGCCAAAGGTATTCAAGACTTTAAACATTGCATTTTATTACTTTTGAAAGTGTTTAATTTCTACCTCCCCATCTGTTTCTTAACAAAGACACAAAAACGGTCCACTTAATTAGTTTGTATTGGAAGCTAGAATTCGTTTAAGGAACTCCATTTTTTTTCTTTTTTTTTGCAGTCCACTTTACTTAGCTTTGGCAGTGAGGGTTATATTAGGTACACGCTCAAATATCTGTTCTATTTTTTCTGTTCACTTGCCTTCGAAATCAGGGTTTTCTTAGGGTACTCACTCTATGGTCTCAAATAATCCATTTTTTTTTATATTTTCCTGCAACCTACTTTACTTGGCTTTGGAAATTAGGGTTTGCTTACGGTTTCCACTCCATAGTCTAATCTATTTTTTTTTTATTTCTGCCACACATCACTTTAGTTGGCCTTGGAAATTAGAATGAACAGCCTAAGCATACATACCCTAAGGTCTATTCTATTTTTCTTGAGTGAGGAAAAAAATGAAATCATTGACTTTTCTCAGAATATGTAGCTAATTTTTGAATATGTAGTCGATTTTTTCATTTTTCTGGACTTTTTGTATACATGTGTGTGAATCCTGTGCAAGCAAAATTTTATTTACTAAATGAAACTTACTTTTACTATTGTGAAATTTGAAATGTTCTAAAAGTACTAATAGTGATAAAATAATTCTAGTTCATAATCCTTAAACTTCTAGTTCTAATCTAGCTGTTTTTAAAGTTTCTGGTAATAACTGATGAATCAAAAAATAAAATTTTACTTGACAAAAATATCTAAATTACTTGAAAATTAAGATTTAAAAAACATGTCACTCACATTCTGTTTTGAAGGTAAAGTATTCTGTTAAGTGTCTACACTCGTGGTTTCCTCGTAATAAAAATAATGTGTTTGGATAGCAGATTTTTAATGCCCACAGGTAAAGAACACACTGCAAGAGAAATACACGTCATTAAAAACCAATGTTGTCACAAATACAAACACACAGTAACACATACATATAAAAATTTATAACATTCACCTTGGACAAAACCATTCATTAAAATACCTTAGCCTTATCTCTCCCTTCATACTTTTGCTTGATCCCGTGAAAAGAAAAAAAGCATACATATGTAAAAACCTAAAAACAGACATATCCATAAAACAACATTTACAAGGTTATGGTAAAAACAAACCATATTATCACAAATCTTACAAGCTTACACTACACATTTTGCAAAACAAAAACACACACCCATAAACTTACAAAAAACATCGATGACAGAGTTTAATTATTAACAAATAATTTGAGTTTTTATTACACAAATACATAAAGCTGTATTTATCAAGTCCACATCAAACAAATACATGCCCTATACTGTTTTTTCTTATACCTTTGCAAGGTTATAAGTACAATCTTTACCACTTTGTATGGCTTCACTGAGAATTATGTACAAGTTTTGAGGTACATGTTGAGAGAAGACATGATATGCCTTCAAATACAGGGTGAGAACTGGCAAGATCAGTGCCCAAAACTCATTATCAGAGTTGGTATTTAACTAGTATTGCATTGAAATACATTGAAATAAAAAAACAGATATTTTTCTAAAATTAATTTTAGGTGAATGGTGTCAATGGAAACAAAATGATGGTCATTTACATTTTGTAATTAAAGGATGCTGTTGTGTACATAAAAGGTTTTTGCATATACAAGTATTATTATAAACAAGCCATTTTCACATTTTTGACAACTCTACAAGAATTTCCTGAAGACTATGATTAAATTTGAATATTTTGACAGTATTCTTTCTGAAAAAAAATGTGAATCTCCTAACAAGTAAATAAAAAAAACGAATTTACCACAAAAGGTGCAAAATCCAATTAGTTTTTAATAGAAAAACATCTCCACACAGTACTTCACAACATATTAATATATCCAAGCAATATCAGTTAAGAGTGGTTTCAAATATGTATGTCAAGGGTAAAAAAAATAACTCATGTGAGCAAAACGAGAGAAAACGATAGAGAATGTGAATAAGACATGAAGTAAGTATGGACTATATAAGAAGTGTTTTCATGCAGAAGGTTGTGTTTTATTCTTTGTACATGTTCTGTAATGCATGAAATGAATTTCTCTTTATATGGGGGGGATACATTTGGATCATAAAAGTCCCTCAAATGACCATTTTATTATCATTATACTTGTCTTGGTATATATTTTCATTTATTTATATTAAACAGTTATTTAGCTTTTATATTTAGGGATAATAATAATAAAATTCTTTTTTTTTGTATCTATACCTATATAAGGTGAACAGAAAGATTTGTTTTATATTATCTATCAAAAAGAACATTAAAAACTGCAGGTTTCTTTACCTTTGACTGGCATATTTTAACCTCTCCTCAATTTGTAATGCTTGGATATTTTAATAAATCATGAAGTGTTCTATAAAGATATATCTTTTGTAAAACACTAGTTCAGAAAAGTAAAAACAGTGGATTGGGAATTGTGATAAATGAAGAGGACATTCTGGCATTTTTTTTCAGTAAAAGATTATTTTTTCCAGGAATAATACAGTAAAAAGTAAAATTATTAAAAAATAATTTTAATCTACATGAATTTCTCTTGTAGTTTAAACAGTCAAATATTAGTTCTTACACCATCTAATATAGACACAACAATGCCCTCTCCAGATAAAAGGTAAAACTTTGCCATTTCTTTTTGTTGAGCCCCACTGACCTGCGACAGGTGTCAAAAATTAAACTTTTTCTATGCATTTCAATGGAATATTAGTTGAATATTGACTCTGATACTGACTTTTAGTCACTGATCTGGCCAACCCCGATTTGTCTAAATAATAAATGATTAACAATTGTATGTGAAATGTGAGAAGACAAGATGTGACTTATTAATTCCATCAAACAATTAAGTTCAAAAAAAAAAAAGCAAGACTGAAGAGGATGCACGAATGTGTCGAAACTAGTTTCTCTGATTTCAGACTTCTAACAGTTCATTCCCTTTACTGTGGCTTTTTCACTAATTGTATTATAAATGCATTTGTTTACTGTTTTCCAATCTCTTCTAGTTTATTTGTATTTTCATCAAATAATTAGCTTCATACATAATATTCATAGACTATTTATGGTATATACTAATTACCCATTGAGTGTTTAAAGAGAGTTTTGTACTTAAAACTTTTCTCTTTATCAATGTTATACTAAGCATATTAACAATTCAACCATAGCATTAGGGAACAAGTTAATACACAGTAGTACATGAGAACTAGTATTTCATAAATTAATATATGTTTGCACTTCCATATCAGTTCACTAAATTACAAACATTACTGTTTTGTTCACAAAAGTTAGGTAAGTTGTTATTATATTTGAAAGCCTTGAAACAGTTTAACCATACCATCCTATCAGACAAAGAAAGATACTTTTTAAAGTAACATTAAAATATTCTTTGGGACAGATCTACCTGTAAACAGTTCCTAAAATATAAAATATGCTTTGCTTATATATTCTAAAGCCCCTCCATCTCTCCATAGCACAGTGGTAGGACTGAAGTCTTTTTAATATTAAAATTTGGGGTTTATACCTTTTGATGGGCTTAGCACAAGAAAGCCTATCACAAAGTTTTGCTTAAACTAATTGCAATAAAAATATAAAAGTATCAGAAGTTTCCTACCCTCAGAAGATATTATAATCAAAATGAAACTATTATTATATAAAGGCTAGGCTTACTCATAGTCAGAAGTGAGTTTAATTCCAGAAAACACGTCAAGACAATCAATTCTTTATCTCTTTTAAACTTTCCAAACCAGTAACTTGAAGAAAGAAATTAATATTAAAAAAAGCAAAAAATTATAAAACGTTACATTTGTTCAGGGTTGCTATTAACCAGTCATATATTCTTCCTTGTCATTTTATTCTGGCACGAACGTTTTGGGTTATTCTAGAAGAATATAGCTATATCCATCCATACGAGAAACATAACAGTACTTTATTTTAATTTCTTTTATATTTAACCACAAACAAGGTATCTCTGTGACATACCATGCGACTAACCAGAGACTTTTGCACAACATCCTATAAGACTGCTACTGACTCACCTCTATGCTAAAATAACCTCTGTCTACATAATCTCCAAGAAAGAGGTATTTAGTTGTTGCTGGTGGCCCGCCTACTTCAAATAACTTCATTAGGTCGTAGTACTGTCCATGTATATCTCCACATACTGTAAGAGAAAGAGGAAGAACTAGATTAAATTTTTAACAGACACAATATGTAAACTATAATATCAAACGCTCGGGCTTTCTACATTCTAAGACACGTTGACTTAAGAGTTAAACAAAGCCAGCAGAAGAAAAATAATAAAAAGTTCAGTTTTGAAAATTATATGCTCTAAAAAAATTCCACTCCCAAGTTCTTGGAAATATATATTGGGAACATGGGCGTCCACCGGAATTTTCCCTGAGCGAGGGGCAAAGTAATGTGAAATTGTGAAGTGAATAAAAATACTTGTCGAATGAATAAAGAAAGAGTTATGTTTTTCATTTTAACCTTACTCCCCCACCCCCCTGCGGACGCCCATGATTGTAACGAAGTATTTTCAATTTAACATCGCTATGTTTCCATTCCTCATTCTATGACCCTGCTTTAATAACTGAATGTTACTAAAATACCTGTTTTCCCAAATTAAAACACATCACAATCTAGGGGATTTCGCAAAAATTTAGTTTTAAAAAGTGTATTAAAGTCGACTGCACTAATGCTTTAGTTAGTTAGTTCCACATCACCGTGTTACGTGTGCAGCTACCCTACTGCGCAACTAGTGAAGCACTATGACGTTGACATCCCAGTCGGACATTAACTGAGGGATGCTCTTGATAAACTAATTGTACTTCCACAACTTCGTTTAAATTGGTATCATTGACAGAATCCTGTAATCAACAATTCAATTACTATTCCTGAAGATTTTCACAGATAATTAATACTATAGGAGTCGTACTCATGACAACACATTTTTCATATGAAAACATAAAACATTTTGAACATCCTACAAGTATTCATTATGATGTGGAATTATCATTAAAAGTGACAGCTGATTCTTTGGTTTAAAAGGTCTGATATTTTATACAGAACTCTGTATGTGTGAGCATATAATTCGTTATAAATTTCTTTAAAACTTAGCTAAGATCACCTGTGTATTTTTTTTGTATGATAAATATCTTCCCAAGAAACGAAATGGTGCTCACCTGTGTATTTTTTTTTATTATTGTATGATAAATATCTTCCCAAGAAACGAAATGGCACCATTCAGAGAGGCAAAAGGGAAATGTCCTCTAATCCCCGAGAGTTTCAAACATATGTACAGGGTGATGAAAAAGTCACGCGTTTGTTTGTTTGAAGTTAAGCACAAAGATACACAATGGGCTATTATCTGTGCTCTACCCACCAAGGATATCGAAAGCCGGTTTCTAACGTTGTAAGTCCGCAGACATACCGTTGTTTCACAGGGGGGAAAGTTACGTACTACCACGATTTTTAAAATCCTTAGAGCTATTTGAAATATTGATGCCACGACATTATGTCATCACTCCCACGCGTTCTTGCAAGGTTAATGACATCTCAACCAGCAAAACACAAACATAACTTCGAAAAATCATAAGGGCATAAGTTAGAAATATCATGACAGTGTGTCGCCCTGTATGTATTAACAGTTGCTTGGAGAATTTTATTCCCATTTATTTTTCAACAGTTAACAAGTAAAACATTTTTCTTCCCAAAGGTAATGATACCTTGATACTAATTTGAGTCACAGTCTCCAAACGTTGACATTACATACACTGGAACATTTTCATAGCCCACCGCTTGGCAATCCGGTAAGGAACCAGAACGGTTATTCCAGGAATATGATCTAAATAACCGAGATTTCTTCTCTACGAATATAACAATATCCATTATTAATTGCTTTGCCTTAAATTAAACCGGTGATAAATTATAAAGTTTGGTATGGTCAACTCAAATTCCGATGTTATACCAATTGAAAATTTGTGGTACTGGTTGTTTGTTTGTTTTTGTAATTAAGCACAAAGCTACACAATGGGCTATCTGTGCTCTGCCCACCACGAGTATCGAAACCCGGATTCTAGTGTTGTAAGTCCACAGACATACCGCTGTGCCACTGGGGGGCGATACTGGTACTGGCTGATTTGTTTGTTTGTTTTTGAATTTCGCGCAAAGCTACACGAGGGCTATCTGCGCTAGCCATCCCTAATTTAGCAGTGTAAGACTAGAGGGAAGGCAGCTAGTCATCACCACCCACCGACAACTCTTGGGCTACTCTTTTACCAACGAATAGTGCGATTGACCGTCACATTATAACGCCGCCATGGCTGAAAGGGCGAGCATGTTTGGTGTGACAGGGTTTCGAACCCGCAACCCTCAGATTGCGAGTCGAGTGCCTTAACCACCTGGCCATGGTACTGGCTGAGGAGTAACTTTTCAAAATAGACGCCAAGTAACCCGCGGCGACTATCGAAATGGAAAGAAAACCAATTGACAGTGTTAAAAAAACTGATAGTATTTATGTCTGACCGATGTCGTCATATATTTAAAACTAGAGCAGGACATAGTGAATATTGATTATTCAATTTATATTCTAAAATGAACTTCTTATGTCTGATAATTTAATTCTGGATATAAACCAAATCTATACTTTTATTTTGAAAACATATGTGTTGATAAACACAGAATATTGAGCGGTATACTGTAAAAATTATCATATTTATTTTTCTTTTCTTTTTATATATATTTTGTATAATCATATACGTGGTATACGATCTAGCTGTGGTTGTTAAAAGCACTGTATGTCTGTTGATAGATTCTTTTGAATGAACTGTATGAAATTTATTGTCGATCAGACAAATAAATTATTGTTTTTCATGTTCTATCTCCTTCATACGTTAATACTCGGAATACATAAAACAGTATATCAGACACCCTTTTACTGCTCGTATGTAAAGACGTTTCGTGTGTCAAGCCATCTTTCGCACCATTCTTTATAGCTAAAACGACAGTTGCGAACATTATAATCAATGTTTAGTTTAGCTGCCATAGCAACTATAGAGTCGTCCATAACTCCCAGTCAGGAAAAAGCAACATGAATTTTACCTTGATGACACGATCTGAAACATGTTCTTAGAATCGTTAACATTTTAAAATAAAAAAAAAACATATTTAAATAATATGAAAATAAGAAAGCTGTCTTTATATTTCAGTCACGAGAAAGGACTTGAAATTTTAATTCCTACTGTACATTTTAAAGTCTCCATGCACATTATATACTCACGAAAATAAAACTATCAGACTACAAACACCAAAGGTAAATCGTCACATGTTGCTAAAGGGTAATGTGACACAAAGAAACTACGTAACACTAAGCAGTTTAATACCCAAAAAATAAAAACTTTTAATTATTGGTTCACTTAATAATTTTAAAACATGACAAAAATGTAAGACTAACACTATAAGCTAGTGCTCCATCTTGAGAGTGGGTGAAAATGGAATACTATTCTAAGTTATTGCTCCACCTTGAGAGTGGGTGAAAATGGAATACTATACTAAGTTATTACTCTTTGAGAATGGGTGGGAATGGAAGATTAGCAATGCAAATTACTCCTCGATTTGAGAGTGAGTGGGAATTCTAAGAACTTAAGAGGGAGGGCAAAGAAGAATTATGTAATAATATGACAACCACAATACAACTGCCACATCCAATGTCTACGAGGCCTTTCGCCAATACCAAAATTCATCAGGACAGGTAGGACACGAGTGCTGTTTATATGAATTTCACGAAAAACAAACGTTATGGTGTGAACTACATGAATTGTATTATAAACGTTTTTTTATTTACTTACAAATCAGAATAAGAATTAAAAATAAACAGTATTTATGTATTTTTAATACAGGTTGTTTATTATTATTATTTTATTTTTGAATTAACTTTACTGGCGAACCAGCAAGCTAATCTTCTGGTTGTACGGAAAACTAAGAATGCAAGTTATTGTTCCCTTAAGAGTGAGTGAGAATGCAGACTAACACTAAGTTATTGCTTCACTTTGAGAGTAGATGGGGAACAGAAGTCTAACAGAGTAAGTTAATGTTCCACCATGCGAGTGGATGCTAGATTGTAGCTGTACAAAAACTTATAGCAGTATAGATTTACACAGACATAACAACCGCGCACAACAAATGTCAGTTTACATCTTAAGGCGAAGAAACAAATATGTAATTTACTAAACACGATCTCCTGCTACAAAGACACGATACTGACTTCTAGCAGATTAAAGTAACTACTACTCTTTATCATAGAAGGCGTTACTTGTTGAAATGGAAACCAGAGCTACACCGAAACAGCCTAAGTACACCACGCCAAGATACCAAAGGGAAGGCTGGTAATTTATGGCCAAAATAGTCCCCATGATTGTAACAACTGGAGAGAAGTGTTATTCAGCCTACGATTTGCTTTCTCTTCGTAAGAACTACGAATCGCCGTTGTTTTATGACTAGGCGGGGTATATATACTTTTGTTCAAGCTAAAGTATTCAGCAAGTGTTGTCTATAGCTTGTTGCCAATGTGATGAAAAAAAAGTAAGCGACTAGAAATGCAGAGAAGCTTCCAAATAACTCTTCAAACTTTCATTCGGGCAAATGCGATCAAATGTCACTAACACGCGTCTCAAACGTTATCAATAATTCACAGCTGAAGAAAATATACAACAGGAGACTGGTGTGTGCAATCATGCTTCTGAGCTAACTTTAAAAGTCCTACAAATGTTAAAGTTTTTTATAACTTTTGTTTGCAAAAAATAAAAAGTACTAAAAGGTATAGTGTAAATTTTCTACTACATCATCATCACATTTTAATTTATGAAATGTTATTTGTATGTTTTGTACAAAAAAAAAACATTTTTACACCATATTTCGCAAAATGTGAAAAAAGAAAAGAAATAAACAATGAAGTAAGTTTAATGTAAAAGCATAAAATTGCTTTCTAAGAAAAAGCCGTATGCATTATATCAGGGGCACAGAGAGACTTGACAAATTATCATTTACAATTAGCGCAAATAAACTCGAGAAAGAACCTTTGAAAACAAGAACAACGCCTAACACGAAACATCAGGCACACAAGAAAACTCAGAAAAGAGACCTTACACGGAAACTTCATTTCTT